AGTAGCTAGGATTATAGGCATGAGCCACTGTTGGAGACATAATTTCTTTTCTTTTCTTTTTTTTTTTGTCGGTCATGGGGCCTGAACTCTGGGCCTGGACGCTGTCCCTCAGCTCTTCAGCTCAAGGCTAGTGCTCTGCCACTTGAGCCATGGCACCACTTCTGGCTTTTTCTGCATATGTGGTGCTGAGGAATCGAACCCAGGGCCTCATGCATACAAGGCAAGCTCTCTACCACTGAGCCACCTTCCCAGCCCCCATAATTTCTTTTCTTAGTTTACCTTAGTTATACTGACTAGGGTAGGATTTCAGTGTTCCATTTCCACCCATACGTCTCCAGTACATTCCAGTCACCCTGATCCCTATTGTCACTCTCAAGAAAAATATCTGTACCAAGGTTCTCAAGGCTTTCACCATTTTGTGTTGTGTTTCAAGTATCAGTAGGAAACACTGAATCCTTCCTTGATGGGCTGAGGGAAAATGGCAGAAGCCTGGTGTCAGGAAGGTGCAGAGTTTGGTGAAAAACCACATTACAATCTACTGATAACTGACAATGGCTAAGACCTTACTGCTCCTGAGTCACAACCCTTGGGTGTGAATCCTGGCTCAGTTTGTTGCCTAAGTCTTTGACCTTGGGCAAATTATCTTCCCTTTTCCTGTTTATTTGGTTGTAAAGTTGGGCTAATAATACCTTCCAAGGATGTTGTGAGGGTTACACGTGCTTACTACTTAAGTGAGAAAATTTAGCTACTATTATTATCTCTGTGTCTGACCATTTGCTCTGTGGCATTTACATATAACCAATCAGCCAGAGACAATCTATTTAGAACTTAAGTTCCACAGTATTGAGTTTAAGCTCATATAAATCAACTTTAATTCCATATATACAATAATTTCTCAGGGTTTGGTTTTGTTTTCCCAGTTGTGGGGCCTGAACTCAGTCTGGGTACTGCCTAAGCACCTTGCTCAAGGCTAATGCTCTACCACTTTAATGTACAGCACCATTTCTGTTTTTTTTTTTCTGTTGGTTAAATGGAAATAAGAGTTTGACAGACTTTCATGCCCATGTTAGCTTTGAACCATAATCTTCAGCCTCCTGAGGAACTAGGATTACCAGCCCGTTGGCCTCAGATTTTAAGTTTTAGTTTCTCCATTTGAAAAGTTCACAATTCTTTTTTTTTGTCAGTTGTGGGGCTTGAACTCTGGGCCTGGGCGCTGTCCCTCAGCTCTTCAGCTCAAGGTGAGCACTCTACCACTTTGAGCCACAGTGCCACTTTTGGTTTTCTGGTGGTTAATTGGAGATAAGAGTCTCATGGACCTTCCTGCCCTGGCTGGCTTTGAACCGATATCCTCAGATCGTAGCCTCCTGAGTAGCTAGGATTACAGGCATGTGCCACCAGCACCTGGTTTCAGAATTTGTGTGTGTGTGTGTGTGTGTGTATTACTACTGTGGCTTGAACTCAGGGCCTCAAAGGTGGTCTTGCTTTGGCCTTTCACTAAAAGATGGTGCTCTACCACTTGAGCCACACCTTCTGGCTCTTTGCTGGTTAACTAGAGATAAGAGTTCCAGGGACTTTGCTGCCTAGGCTGACTTATAGCTGTGATCCTCAGATCTCAGCTTCCTAAATATCTAGGATTATAGGTATGAGCCACTGGTGCCCATCTCTTTATACATCTTGCAGACTGGGCAGAGAGTGAGGAGACAAATCACAAAACTTGCTGCTGTTCTTTTACAATAGCTGTTATCTGACCCCAGCTGGTGTGCTAAATTTAGGATTTTGGATTATCTATAACAGTTCTTTCTGTCTCCCATTACCAAGGTTAACAGAGAAGCAATTGCAGAACAAATGAAACTTTTGAAAAAACGATTTAACTCAGTTGCCCATCATATCAATATCATATCTATTGGAAATTAACATTTTAGCCATTGTACCAATCAAAGGAGGTTTTTTTGGTCATAAGTTTCATTAATTCCATGGTAGCACATTTCTTGTTATTCTTCCTGTTCTGATTTGATAAGGTTTTGAAGTTAAAATTATTAAGCACATGTATGCATGTTATTTTACTATACATAACTAAACATCTAAAAATGATTTTTTCACAATAAAAGTATTTAATCTACAGCAAAAAAATGGGGGACATTGACTGGAAGATATAAACAAGTGTTGAAATGTAATAATGAAATCTCCCTCTGTAAAACTAATGTAAGCGGATTTAAAAAGAAAAACAAAACCAAAAAAAAAAAAAACCCTCCCAGCAATTGCCAACAATGCTTTACAAAAACTTTTCTGATACAACTTTAGAAACGGAAGAATACAAAGAATTCGGTTCAAAAATTACTTTTAGGCCTGGGCTAGCTCTTTCCTGTTGTGATTCTTGTATGCAAAATTCTTTCTTTTCTCATGAAACCATAACCTTGAACATTCGTACTTGTTTCCTTTTGGGGTTCACACCCTCCCGGAGTTCTTTGTCTATAAACTAAGTAGCTAATAGCTGCAGCCCTAGTTAGGGTTGCTTTTTTTAGGTACAGCAGATTCTTGACATCTGTTTGTGTTTAAGTGATGACACAACATCACAACACCCGAAATGTCATCATGGCACATTGTTATAGCACAACAACAAAATTACAGCTCCCCAACAATAACACAGTGTCAGGAGTGTCCTCTTGCTCATGAGTCAGTGTTTTAGAAGTGAGGAGCTATTTTTAGCACCGCCAGTGCTTCCGAAGCCTGAGTCCCCGAAGTCCTGAGTCCTAGTGATGATGCGTGACCCCACAGAACCGAGTTTGCACCATGCATGGCACACACCTGGTGCTCAATCACTGCCCCGCGCCCGCATCCGGAGTGCAGGAGGTGGAGGTGGGGCTGGTGGTGGTGGTGGAGGAGGAAGAGGAGGAGGAGGAGGAAGAAGAATGAGGAGGAGGAGGAGGAAAGGAAGGAGGGAAGGGAGCGCAGAGACTATAATCCTTTCCATCTGGGGTAGGCCCTCGGATGACTTCCCCTGCGTCCTAATATCACAGTTCCAATTCCTTGGGGCAGATGCGCGCCTTATTAGTTGGCAGCAGGTGAATGGGGTCCTTAGAGACCCTCCCCACCCACCCACCCACTCCATCATCTCTTGGGCCTGGGAGATAGAGAGGGATGAGCGCTTCCACCCTCTCCAGTGATTGGCCATCCCGGCCGTCGGGATGTGCATTTGCACCCAGAACCATCCCTCCCCCCCAACCCCCCCCAGCAGCAGCGGCAGTAGCGAAGCTACAGACCCATCCCTTCCTGGGGCGCTGGGTGGAGGGGGGGGGGGGGAGGCGAGGGGGAAGGAGTGCGCGTGCGCGGCGTCGTTGCCGTGACAACGGGGCGCCCGCGCCGCGGTGGCTGCCGGGAAGGAAGTGACGAGAGGTGGGTTGGCTGTTGTTGGGACACGTGACCCGGGTAGTGTTTTGACAGGGCAAACAGCGAAAGGGAGGAAAAAAAAAAAAAAAAGAAAAAGAAAAGAACCGGGCGAGTGAGGGAGCGAGCGAGAACAGAGAGAGCGAGCTGGGCGGGCGGGCGAGTGAGCGCGGAGCTGGCCGCGACGCGGGGGCGACGCGGGGCGCCGGGCGGGCGAGGCCCGGGGGGGGGCGCCGCGGGGCCGGGCGACGCGGGGCGCGGGGCCGAGCGCGGGGCGCGCAGCCTGGCCGGCGGGCTGAGGTGAGGGGTGGACGGTCTCAGGGGCGCCGGGGTCCCCCTCTCCCGACCCCGGTGGGGCGCGCGGGGGGGGGGGGTGGTGGTCTCTGCACGCCACGGTCCCCTCTTTCCGGCCGGGGGTCTGGTGAGGTGGAAGTGTGAGGTGAGGGGCTGGGTGACGACGGAGCGGTAAGTTCCCTGAGGAGAAGGACGGACGGACGGACAGACTAACGAGAGAGTCGGCTGGGGTGAAGGAGAGGCTAGAAGGAACAGGGCCGGACCCCCATCTCCACCCCACACCCCCCCCCCCTCAGCCCGAACGCCCTGGGAATCACTCGGGGGCTGGCTGGGAGAAGGTCAGCTCGGAGCGGTGAGACTGGAGGAAATCGGGGTGTGTGTGTGTGTGTGTAGGGGGGAGTTCGTCAAAGAAAGTGTCTGCTCTCCCCCCCCCCCCCCATCCTCCGTCTGGAAAATACTTTTTCCTCGTAGAGCACCCTCAGGCCCGGCCACGTAGGACTTGGGGTGTATGTGTGTGTGTGTGTGTGTGTGTGTGTTGGGGGGCGACCCAGGACAGCCCGGCTAGAGTTCGTTTGCGGCGGGGGCGGGGCGGGGCGCGAGGAGCTGGGGGAGTCGGGTGTCTTCTTCCTCCCCCCCCCCTCCCTCCCCTCTACTCCTCCCCCCCCCCCCACTCCTCCCGGATCGGTTGTGTCAGCTTGGCCGGGGTGGCAGCCGGCAGGCAGGCTGTATAGCCAGAGGGGTGATTACCCAGGTGAGGCCTGGCCGGGCCCGGGTGGGTGGAGTGGAAGGGAAGAAGCGCTTTTCTGAGGGAAGGAGGGCAACGAGGGGGTTGGCGTTGGTATCTGCGCACAGATACCAGGTAGAAGACTTCTGATCGGAGGTGGCCCTGACGGAGCTGCCCACTATATACCCTGAGGCAGATTCCCTCCCCCCTCCCCATTATTTAAACATTTTTTTTTTTTTAAATCAAAGAGGGATTCGTTTGTGTTGTTTGATTCTTCCTTGTCTTGCTGGTACCTCTAGGTTATAAATAGATCTTGCTGTTTTGGTTCCCAGACACTGTGTCAGAGAGGGACACCTTGGCCTGGAGAGCAAGAGGGGCGGGGCAGATGGGGGTGCTCGATCTAGAGGAAATGGAGGGGGGGGGGCGGGGAGGGAGTGACAGTACAGCGTTTTACTTTGTGCAGGCCTGTCACCGCAGTTTGTTCCAGGAAAGAAGCCTAACTTCACAGTTTTCTTGCGAGATCCGGGCCCTGGGGGAGAGGGGGGTATGTTAGAGCGGGATCAGATTTATTTGATTTCGATTTTTTTTTTTTAAATAGCATTTTGGAAAGGAATCAGAAGCCGTTGAATCAGCGGTGAGCCTGTTGAAAAAAACCCACACCTGGATTTCACAGCACTTGGGGTAGAAATTGGATGTGAAAATGAAGCCAGACCGAGGTAAACAAGTTAAAGGAGGGCTTTGTTGTGTTGTATTTTGTTGTGTGTGTGCGCGCCCGCGCGTGCCTGTGCCGCCTCTTCCAAGTTGTGACCCTTAATTCTGCCATCAAGATCAACGATTTCTGTAACATATGATTATCTGTTTGGGTGACAGATTCCAGCTGGTTAGAGAAAAGAGGACATATGGAAGAGAGCTAGGCCGGAGGTGGGAGGACCGTCTTGGTCAGAAGGGCTGGTGAAGCACTAGTTTGAGAGAGAATTGGGTGTGTGTCAAAATGAAGTTGTCAAGATGAGCATGTTACCAAATGTTTGGTATTATATTCCAGTTGCAGGTATTCATTTTTAGGCAAAGTCAGTTGAACTTCAGAGAAGTTGACAAACTTTTTAAACTTGAGAGTTAGAACTTGATCGAGAAAACATTGTGTGAGGAGACAATCATCATTACTACTTTTGTTAGCTAACTTTATTTATTTATTTACTTATTTATTGTCAGTCCTGGAGCTTGAAGTCAGGGTCTAGGCACTTTCTTTGAGCCTCCCTGTGCTCACGGCTAGCACTCTACCACTTGAGCCACAGCGATACTTCTGGCTTTTTCTGTTGATGTGGTACTGAGGAATCGAACCCAGGGCTTCATGCATGCTAGGCAGTCTACCACTAAGTCACATTCCCAGCCCTTGTTAGCTAACTTTTGTGCTTAAGCAAACTCCACATGCCTTAACTATATGGACAGCTGGGCTACCAAAATCCTTAGTGTTAATAGGCAAATCGTCTGTTCTTTTCCTTTTCCTTCCCTCTTCCCTCCTCTTCCTCCTCTCCCCTCCCTTCCTCTCCTTTTTCCTTTTTGTGCCAGTACTGGGGCTTGCACTCAGGGCCTGGGCACTGCGTCTTAGCTTTTTCAGTCAAGGATGGGGCTCTATCATTTGAGTCATTTCCTAAAATATATATCTTTGGTCATAGTATCCAATAAAAATGCATTAGAAAAAATTGGAGAAAACCATATTTTTAAAAATTTTATTAAGTAGTTGTACAAAGAAGTTACAATTCCATAAATCAGGTTATTAATACAATGCTTTTTTTTTTTAAGTAGTGGGGCTTGAACTTGGCTTAGTGCTCAAGGCTAGTGCTCTACCACTTGATCCATAGTGCCACTCCCGGTTTTCTGTTGGCTTATTGGAGATAAGAGTCTCATGGACTTTACTGCTTGTGCTGGTTTTGAACTGTGAGCCTCAGATCTAGGCCTCCTCAGTAGCTAGGATTACAGGTGTGAGCACCAGCACCCAGCTAGTACAGTGCATTTTGATCAATGTCATCTCTTCAATAGTTTTACTCCATCCTCTCCATCCCATCCCCATCCCAACCCTTGTGTTACATAGTTCAGTTTTTGTTGTTGTTGTTGGTCCTGGGTTTCTGGACTTTGAACTCTGGCTCTGGGCTTTGAACTCTGCGTCTGGGCACTGTCCCCTAAGCTCCTTTTTGCTCCTTTAGCACTCTACTACTGGAGCTACAGCACCACTTCTGGCTTTTTCTGTGATTAATTGGAGATAAGAGTCACAGACTTTCCTGCCAACATAGTTCAATTTTGATGTAATGTACATAATGATTGTATCTGCTTACCTTTCCTCCACCTCTCCCTCATTGAGAAAATCATATTTAATTTAGTGGTTTCAATTAGTTTTAAGTGTTTAGCTCTTAATGTTAGGTTACAGTGATATAGACATAGGAAGAATCAGCAAATACATTGCTATTGAGCAGGTTACTTGTGTACATGTTAAATTTGGATTTTAGATTACATCAGTTACTTTGGAAAAATAGCACCAGGTCAGAAATTTCATCTCAGAATAAAAAAGCAAATAAACTCAGTCACTGTTTGTTTTGGATTGTTGTTAAGAGTTGCTTTAAAGTCAGAGCAGTTTAAAAAGCAGCATTGAAGTAGCAGGTTGGTTTTTTTTTTGTTTTTTTTTTTGTGTTTTTGTCGGTCATGGAGCTTGAACTCGGCCTGAATGCTGTCCCTTGATTCTTCAGTTCAAGGCTAGTGGTTTATCACATGAGCCACAGCGCCACTTCTGGTTTTCTGAGTGGTCTATTGGAGATAAGTCTCATGGACTTTCCTGCCTAGGCTGGCTTTGAACAGCAATCCTCAGATCTCAGCCTCCTGAGCAGCTAGGATTACATGCGTGAGTCACTGGCACCCGGCCTGAAGTGGCAGTTTTAAAATGGTATATTAGCTCCTTCAGTTAAAACTAGTACTAAACACTATAATATATATATATATATGTATTTATATATATTTCTGAGTTATCAGTATTACTCAGAAAATAAGTTTTTTCATCAAGATTTTCAAATCAGTGACTTTGCTAATGTAAAATTTCAACTTCCTTAACATTTTCAGATAAAGATGTTAGCATTTAAAATTGTGATTATTTAAAAATAATAGCCTTTAAGTTCATGGCTCTTTTTCATTTTTCTTTTGGATCATTATCTATAATAATTCACATATGTTTAGCAGACTAGTATAAAAATATTGATGACTTTTTCAATAGTCTTCCAATACTCGTGTGTGCAATACAACTCTGCATTTCTGTTCCATTTCACTCTTTTCATTACAGTCCCAACCTCTTGAATTTATTTATTGATCACTGATCATGATGATTGGCAGTTTGAAAAGTGTAAGTTGTGAGAAACACTTAGAAATACTAATACTTCCATTTTTTTTCATTAGTGTCTAATGAACTAATATATGATTGATTTTCTAGATATACTAATGACTCTTTAAGTGCCAAAAATATTGCCACTTGTCATCCAGATATATGGACTGTTTTCCAACATATTAATTCTTCCTTGTACTTTTTTTTTAAGTGTACAGAATCAGTATGTAGCCTTTCATTGGTATTAAAGAGACACTGCTGTAAATTGTAACTTCATGCTGGAGTTTGCGCATTCTAGGCAATATCACTTGAGCAACATCTTCATCCCGCCTCTTGTCCTCTTTTTTTTTTGGTCAACATTGAACTTAGGACTTTGCACTTCAAAGGAGGCGCTCTCCTGCTTGAATCATGCTCTTGCCCTGCTTTAGTTATTAGCCCTGCTTTAGTTATTTTTGATACCGGGCCTTACTTTTTTCCTAGGTTAGCCTGGCCAGCAGTCCTCCTATTTGTGCTTCCCAGTACAGCTGAGATAATACTGTAATTGTGTTTCTCCTAAGTTTGGGATGCCAGACACACACTACCACACTCAGCCACTGGTTGAAATGGAGTCTCACTAACTTTTGCTCAGGCTGATGTTGAATCTTCTAATTTCTGTTTTCTAAGTAGCTAGGTCTATAAACATGAGCTACCCAAATAAATTTAAACTTCACAGAAATTTTATAATTCTGTGGGTACATAATTCAGCAGAAATTTGTTTTGAGAGAGAAATTGTATTAATCATAGTTATGTTTTGTTTTGTTTTTGTTGGCTATGGGGCTTGAACTCAGGGATGGGCCCCCTGAGGTCTTTTTGTTCAAGGCTAGTGCTCTATCGCATTGAGCCACAGCTTCACTTCTAGTTTTCTGGAGGCTAATTGGAGATAAGAGTTTCACAGACTTTCCTGCCTAGCCTGGCTTCGAACTGCAGTCTTCAAATCTCAGCCTCCTGAATAGCTAGAATTACAGGTATGAGCCACCTACCCCAGGCTAAGATTACATTTTTTAGGGTTGAGTTTAGCTCGGTAGTGGAGTGCATGTTTAGCATGTATAAAGCCATACCAAACACAGAGACACAGACACATACACATACACACTCTGAGATAGACTTTCCAAAGAGTTTAGTATTCACAGAAGTGAACTATTATCTCTTTGGTTTATTAAAATATAAACAGGCATGAATAGGTTTAGGAACAAAGACCATATTCTTTTTTTCTTTTTCTTTTTTTTTGCCAGTTGTGGGTCCTGAACTCTGGGCCTAGGTGCTGTCCCTCAGCTCTTCAGCTCAAGGCTAGCGCTCTACCACTTGTGCCACAGCACCACTTCCGGCTTTTTTCTTTTTTCTTATGTGGTGCTGAGGAATCGAACCCAGGGCCTCATGCATGCAAGGCAAGCGCTCTGCCACTGAGCTACCTTCCCTGCCCATCAAGTAAAACATTTGTACAGGCAGGCTATTAGTACTATGTTCAGTAGTAATGTACGTTAGTTTACATGGAGGGTATTCATTGGTTAATCTTTTTTTTTTTTTCTTATGCCAGTTCTGGGACTTGAACTCAGGGCCTGTATGCTGTCCATGAGCTTTGCTGTCCCTGAGTTTTCGTGATAATGGCTAGTAGAGTTCTACTTCTTGAGCCACAATTTCGCTTATGGCTTTTTGGTGATAATTAGAGGTAAGACTCTCATGGACTTTCCTGCCCAAGTTGACTTTGAACCATGATCCTCAGATGTCAGCCTACAGAGCAGTTAGGATTACAGGCATGAGCCACCAGTGCCTGACTAGGAGTCTTTAATAATATTATTAGTGCAGGCTTTAGATTGAAACCTGTGTTTATATACTTGATCCATTACTTGCCTGTTGTGTAATCTTTACTACTTTTAAACTCAAGCCAACTCTTCCTGCAGCCTGATGCTCAGATCTGAGGATTGTGGTGTGAAGCAGGAAAGTTCTTGAGAGTCTTATTTTCAATTATCACCAGAAAGCCATAAGTGGAACTGTGGTTTGAATAGTAGAGAGTCAGCTTTGAAAAAAAAAGCTAAGGGACAGCAGCAGGCCCTGAGTTCAGGCTACAGTACAGGCATACAACAAACAGAAACCATCAGTGCAAAACCTGTTATATAAGCAAAAACGCAGACAAGATGATTTATTTATTGACTGGTTGATTAAAACTGAGAGGAATGAAATCTTCCTCTCCCTCTTTGATTATGTAACATAGTTTGGCATTGGCCTTAGTATTAGCAATCCTGTTAACCTTAAATGATTCCTTTCACAATACCTGATAAGAGAAAAGAAGCGATAAGAAAATTATATGCATTGCTTACT